CAAGAGGCCATATTTGGAACATGATTCATCTCACCTAACTTTAGCAATCCCCAACCCTAATTAACTTTATAGTTGGTGGAGAGTTTAGTGCCTTTTGGAGAGTGATTCATCTACATTATTTGAGGCATCACCTTGATGAGGTAAATTGTTTAGTAGAAAGGCATCTAGCTGAGATGAGAATCCAGAAGCAGACTTTCATACTGGGCCAGGTGAATCCAACCTTGGGAGCCCTTCCAGTAAGTGACCTTGCTTATTTAAAGTTTGAAGTAGTGTATCTGTACTACTGTTTACAGGTAAGAGAAGTGACCTTGCTTATTTAAAGTAGCGTATCTGTACTACAGTTTACAGGTAAGAGAAGAAACGCTCTTGCCTAACTCTGCCTTAGCTCCTTGCTGTGCGTCTCCGGGCGGGGCTGCGGTGCGGCAGAGCCGCCACCAGGGGGCGCTGCCGGAGCTGGAGAAGCGGCCGCGGTGAACGCGAAAGATCAGGGAAACTTTGGGAGGCTCACAGCTTCTGCAAAATAAAGTTCCTTCGGGGACAGAAATCCCCTGGAAAACTGGAAACTACTTTTGAGAGAAAAAAAAAAAGCACTCAAGCAAACAAACAAAACAACCCCACAAAGCCCCGTGCGAAGCTTATTTAAAAAGTTGTCTCCATCAAAAATGCCTATAATTTGAAAGTCAAGTGTTTCCATTTCTGCTTCGTTTACATTTATTTCAAGTAGTTAAATACCTTTTGTGGTATAGACATGATCCTATTTTGCTGCTGAATACGAGCATCAGAGCATACGAAGGGACAGACCTACTTAAATCATTTCGCTCAAGTCCCATGATAAGAACTTGTCTTGCTCGTTTTCTGTACTGTTAGAGGCCTCCACTGGAAAAATCTCTTGATGTTTTACAGAGTTAAAAAAAAAATGCATATCTGAACTGCTAGCCAGCTTTAAAAAATGAACGTAGCAGTAAATGGCTCAAGTCATGTCAAATATATAGGGCTAAACGTGGATATTAATTATATAACCAGAGGGATTCAATTTACTTTGTAAAGCAATTAAAAAAAGACAGAAACGTACAGTCGGTTTCTGGAAAAGAGTAATGTCTGTTTAAAAATAACTTCCTACCCAGAATAGCCTGCCTGTCTCACATAATATCAATTGTGGCGAAAAAAATTCAACACTTGGGCATTTACAGAACTGCTTCTTTATGGAAAATCAAACCCAAGTTTTAAAACAATAGAAGTTGACGCTTAAGTGCCCAGATCCACTTTTAGGCACGTAAACAAAGTCTTTGCTTTTCAAACTGGCTGAACAGCCCATCAGAATTTATCTTCCCTTTATTTTTATTCTTCATTGGCTGATTAAGACTATGAAAAGGTTTGTAGACAGGTTTAGAGATAGAGTGTTCATTTTTTTAATATAGAGAACACTTTAATATTGCTTTGGATTTTTCTAGCAGTTTGGCAGTCTGTCTGTTTGCTGGGTTTTTTTGGAGGTTTTTGTAATACACTTTTTGCTTCAGAGTGGATAGGCAGGGATTCCTTTCAAGCATATTAATCAGAGCTGGAGTTTGTTCCTCTATCCAATAAGCAAAGTTGATCTGTATGAAAAGTTCTTTAACCTGAAGCATGTGCTCCATTAGGCATCTTGAAGGAAGTTCAGCATGTTCTTGGTTACTTATTGCACTTTAGTTTTGCTTTGAGTGGGATTCATAATGCCCTAATCTCAAGCGTACCCTCTGAAAACACCACAGTGACTTGGATCCAGCTGTCAGTGGGAGCACCATACCTGTTCAGGACGATAGTCACAGCATCTGTCCCTCTCTCTACCTCCTAGATGAACAGAATGCCAGGGTCAGGCACCTTCAAATAGTAGTTGTTGCACCGTCCTCAAAGCAGTATAGTCCGATAGACAGAAAAGAAAGAAACAAGATGCCCCTGTGTAATTCGCAAGGTCTTTGCACTTCACAGGGTCCTTACACTTCATTGTGCAACCTTTTGTCACTTCAGAAATCAGCTTCAAGCAACGAGCTAAAAAAAACTACGGTACTTACTTTTGTCTTCATAGATAGCATGGCATCAAAACTTCTGATCCACTTTTTTATAGCTAGCCTGATTTAGATATATTAGAAAGAAGCAGCATGTTTGGTTGGTCTACTCAATGCTGCACCTAATTATTGCTTGTTCCAGGAGTATCATGCTTTTAAGTTTTTCCGTGGTGTTCTCCCCTCTGCCCTGTTGTGAATGTGACTATAGTGGGATTTACAAAAAGAAGAGTTAAATAACAGCAGGAAAAGGAGTTGAGGTTGTGTTTGTCTTGATTGTTTACTTCAAAACTATAGTAAAAAACCTTCAAAAAAAACCCTGAAAGCTCTCTGAGAGACAGCATTTGGGAGCCAGGGGCTCTTACCTTTATACTTCAGTAGAATCTTTGCTTTTATGTCACTGTTTCTAAAGTAAAAACACATTGAAGACAGGGAGATGCCTCTCTCAGGCAAAATTCTACTGAAACTAGAAAGTTCACATAAACAAGGTCTTCCAGACATGACAGAAAGAAACTTTTAACTCTCATACGGCAATTTCAAAATCTTTTGGCAAGAAAGGATGGGTCATATGCTGAAGCAATCCATGGCAACACAAATAGCTCCATTTCCACTCTCTTCAATGAGCTTCGCACACCTTAAGTGATGTCCCTATCAAGGGTAAGCATCAAATATCAGTTACACCATTTACTGTATTATGCAAGCAGGGTTCTTGCCTGCATTTTCTAATGTGGCTGAGCGAAAAACAAACCACTTGCACTGTAAAAACTCCATGAACACTTAGCAATATATATATAGAAGTCTTTTAAGTACCATTTCTTTAAAAGTCCTTCACTTATTCTAAAAAAATAAATACACTTAGAAAGGGAAAATGTATTTCTGCTTTAAAATTTAATTCATTCCCAAATTCTGCACTTTTGTTCATCTGCACTTATCAGCAATAAAAGACAACTGAAATCTTGATCCTAAGAACATCAAATTATGTCTATACTGGGTGCATTAGTATGCTAAAGCCTAAATGCATCCTGCAGCTGTTTCAGCTGGTTTTTGGGTAAATGCAGCCTAGCACATGGACCAGAAGACAGCCACTCTGTGTTCCAACACTTAGCCCATCTGGGCAAAAACGGAAGGAAAACTGTGGTGTACTACAGATTCCACCAGTCCGGAAGTCTACATTCCCAATAATATGAGCAAATCAAAACTAATTAGCTTCACTGTAGCTGTCTTGACAAATTTTTACAGGATAAAGAATTTATCCTGTACGTGAAGGCTTCTTCATTGTGTGCAGGAAACGCAACTAGAGGCTCCCTTGAGCAAGTGTCTGATTCACAGTTTTACTTTTTCTAGTTTGAAGTCCAGTTCTGCATGGTGCTTCAGTTTTACAGCAGTCTAAACAAAAAGTCTGTAGTTTTATACCACAGTAAAGGGAGGGGAAAAAAAAAAGGCAAAAAACCTCAAACATTACTACATTCTTATATCCAGTTTATTTAATACCATAGCAGTAAATACAGATAAGAATTCCTGAAACTGGCAACGCCAGAGCTGGTGAGATACTGCTACCTGACAAATCAACAGTCTAGTAGTTCTGGAATTCCATGTGTGCTGGAAAACTAAAGGGCATACATGAGTAGTCTTCAGTTTTAGCCTCAGATATTGACAATACATTTAAATGCACTACTACTTTTATGGCAGAGCAGCATCTGCATAGAAATAAAGCAACACTGTGCCTGTCAACACTGAGAACTATATTCCAATATTTATAGTCTTAAAATAAGTGAAATAAAGAGTATATTTTCCGCAAAAAAATGAAGTGATCTTTGGTCAACACTTATTAAAATGTGCTGTAATGCTAAGATTATATACCTTTTTTTTACGTTATCTTATGGGTGTAGATATTTGAAAATCATTATTCTGCTGTGACCAATTCAGTCACTAGTTTCAATGCAGATAAGGTTTCAGAGCAGAGGTAGGCTTCACCTCAGCAGCTTACAAAGACTGAATCCCAACTGTCCTTTAGAACTGGGTAGGAGAAAGTAAATTCATCTTCAGATCGCTCCTCTTCCCTTTCAGAATTTTTGTATGAGCACAGCACTTTCAAACATGCTGGGCTAAGCCCTTATTTAGTTGTCTACAATAAGAGCTCTGAATGTAAATTGACAATATATTTAGACCTGTCTGATGTTTAATATCCACATTTGAAAAGTGTAGCTAACGTATTCCTTAGTGCTCCCTCAAGTGGCATTTCAATACTGTAGTGATGACTAGTTGTAAAGACATTTGTCCTAGGAAGAAACATTCTGTGTAAGTAAGGAGCACAGCTCTTACCAGCAGGCTGACCTTTAAATCCAGGCAGACATCCTAAAAATCTTGTACTCCTTACGAGTCCATGTGCTTTTCAAGATTCCATTCGCATCTAAAATTGAACACGCACATCCATCTTACAGGTACAGAAACTTTTTTTACAACTCACAAAAACTAATCTGTGAAAGGGGTCAGCCCAGAATGTTAACCTGGCCTTACGCTAGCCCCTAGGCATAAAATTATTTCACTAAACAGTGACCTTGCCAAAACAGTCCAACACTCACTAACATTTCACTAACGTTCCAGTTTCCACTGTCCTCAACCCTCTCTACTTTCTTTCATCACTCAAAAAAAACTAACACAAAAAAAAGTACTGAAATAGGAGAAAATACTGCTTTGTTTATCTGCTTCCCTACTTCTGGTGTCTCTGCAAAGCAGTTTCACAGGTTTCACCTTTTGTAGATTCAGTGTCTCAGCATTTAATTCATTTGAGTTTCAGCAAGTGCTAGGCACCTTGAGGCACATCATGATCTGAGCCATCCTTCCTTGGGTTAAATATAAATACATTATTATATGAAGCATCTTTACTTTAGCGCAAGTGTTCTTGCACAAAAAACATATTTCTCAGAATATTGAAGTAAGATTTTGATCAACAAGGCCCAATTTATTGGAAATAACTTTTTATACTTCAGTTGCCACCTAGAAGCCCTATCCAAGACTGTGTTGGTGTTGAATAAATGCAGACTAAAAATCTCCCCTGAAGAACTTACAAGATAAAAAGAGGAGCAGCTTAGAGTTTAAGTGACATAGCCCTAACACAGTAAATCTGTAGTAGAACTGGAAATAGAGAGTCAGGTCTTCTAGGTCTAGACTCTGTTCACTTGACCATACTATCTTCCGCCTTTGTTTTCTACCATCTTACTCCTTGAGGCATTGACCTTTGGAGGAAATTGACTGAATCCCAAGAGCTGCCTCTGCTCCATTATTTCAGCTTGTTCCTACTTCAAAACTAACCATCTTTTACACAGATTTCCTTCTCTTCCCAAACACATTGTTGATCAACTTGGCCATTGACTTCGATCCACTTGGTCGTCTCTTCTCCTTCATTTTGAAATTGGAGGTGATATTCCTCAGGACTTTTGTGAACATTGCTACAACTTCCTGATAATGTTCTGCTGCAGATAGTTCACAGAATTGGCACTTGTTATCTATTGCCAGCTTCTGTCCTTCATCCCAGCCAACTTCCCTCATGTGGCATAAATCCTGTTTATTACCAACCAAAAATACCGATGACTCGATCATTCTGAAATCAAAAAGGTTTCAATTAGAGAAAAGACATTTTACAATATTGTGTTTTATGTTGTGCTACATATAGTGTGTAATGAAGTATGCCTGTTCAAGATAAAAGGCATTGCAAAAAACCCAAAAGAACAAACAAACCCCCTAGTCTTGCCAAGTAGAGTTGTAGTTTTCCATTTGCCATAGTCAAATGCCAAAGGATTTTCCAGACAAGCTATTCTCTGCCACTAAGTTTTCATTTTGGTTCCTCTGCTCAGTGAATTCATGTATTTTTCATCCACTGCAGTTGCCATACTCTGTACTGCTGAGTACATTGTCAGCTCCTGTACTTCATGAAGAAGTAAGCTGATCATTATCTCCATTTTTAGGTAACAGAAGAAGTGTCAGGGCAGAATTCAGAAGAAAACACAGGAATCCTAATTCCAAGCTTTTGCTAAAATTATTCCTTCAGGAGAAAACTTAATTAGGAAAGGTCAGCAGTACAGACAGAAAAGTGTTAGTTTTTTGGTTTGTTTTTACATACATTTCTGATACAAGGAAAGAATCTCATTCTCATTTATTTAGAAAGCACCTCAGCTGGTTGTTGCAGGAGTACACACCACCACACGTGCTCCGACTTAATGATTTTGGCAATTCTTTTTGAAAGTAGTTTGTTTCTTACCACATGGTCACCCATGTGCACAGGTAACGTTGGGGTCACTACTAAAGGCCGTTTTGGAGACATTCATAGTATTCGATTCATTTATTGTGGGAAATGCTTTCTTCAACCCCCACATTGGTGCATCTCCATTGGTAGTAAAGTAGGGGAGTAAAAGCGTAGACTGACTATGTCAGCTTTATACCCATGTAAATCACAGTAGACAGATTTATGGCAATTATTTAAATAGTAGTGTTGTAAGAAATAAGAACAAAAATCCTGATGTGCTTGGCTTTGGATAGATTACAATTTGCAACATAGTTTACCTTCAGGTACCTTATTGTTGGTATTGTGTTATGCCACTTGGATGCTGCTGGATTTTAATTGGTACTAGTATGCCTGCAGCTCACAGAAATGTTCTCAGCTTTTTTGTACGTTTGCTGAGGGAAAAAAAATAATGCCACTTACTTTTTACAAGCTCCTATGTGAGACTCTCGGATCCTATACAGCAATGCTTTTGCAAATGCAAATGATGCTCTGTCACTGATGTCGTAAACAATGATAAATCCATCAGCCCAGTGGAGCTCATCTGTGAGGGAGAGCTTCCCCCGCTGTGGCTGAAAGAAGTTCAAATTCACATGCAGAAAGAACGTTACTGTTGTCACTTCAGAGCATTTTCTTTGTTACTGTGAATGTGAGAATGTTGTATCTTTTATTGCAAAAGATATTAATGGATCTAGGTGCTAACACTGAATTCAGGTGTATCCTGCTCCAAAAGCCTAATAAATAACTATCGCTACAGATGGCAATTTGGATCACTGACAAAAGTATTATGAAACATTTACACTTTGTTTAATCCGTAAAACTACATAACCTGTATAGCCATTTCTGATGCTGAATATTCTGTGGAGTTACATCAGAATGAAACACACAGAAGCCATCAATATTTGCGCAGTTTCTGGTTATAGCTCTGTTTGGCATGTTCCTAATATTCTGACTACAGTATGCTTTATTTTCTTTCATTTCTTTGCATTGTTCGTCTGAAATTGTATTTATCCATAGGAGAAATTTTTAAAGAGCTAAAAAAAAAATAAATCTTCTTTCATTCTGCAGCTGACTTTAATAAAATTAATGACAAAAGTCACTCAAGTGATAAGAGGGTTATACCAATCCTTGAGTCCCTTCATCCCAAGAAACTGTCACATTCATGATTTCTAGAAATCAACAGCTGAACACTGTCATATTAAGCTAAGAAATGTAATTTCAAAACTATTTTAAATTAGCTTAAATTGCTATTTGAAACGTATAATCTCCACTGACATCCCACCCTGGTTGCTTTGATTGGCTCACCATCAGGGCAGCACCATAGCATCAGAAACAGCTGGACTGGGACGGCTGTAACTTAGCATGAGGGGTAGTAACTAATGCTGTCAGGAAAAGCAGATGCATGGGGAAAAAAAAGATGAAACAAATTGTAGAACTTTCCGAAGACTTCAGCATCTTTAACGCAACAGGGTTTTTATGCTGTGGTGACTGCAGCAGGTTTAGGGGCAGGAAAGGTGATGCATGTGTCACAGCTGTTTCCCAGACAGATGAAGGGAGAGTGAGCTTTGCAGAACAGGGATCCAGTTACTAGAGGCAAGCCTCAGAGAGCAGGAAGACTTCAGAAAGCAGAATAAAACATTGCAACTCTTCCTTCCCCAATCTGGCCTCCTCTTGGAACCAGTTCCCACAAAACACATGCCACCCATCTCTTTCTAGAATCACCACTACTTGCTACCCACTCCTCTGCAGGCACTAAAATGATGTTAAGAAGAAAGCATCAAACAGCTAAAGTTAGGCCTTGTTGCTAAGAAAGAATCGGTACAAGACAGCTCAAAGAGTGCTGGCAAGAGGACTTGTCCTTAACACTGCTGATCTCTGATCTCTGACCTCCTTTAAAGAAAAAAGGTGCCCAAACTGTAGTAACCAAAGTCTCTACCCATCAGGTAGCCTAATCTTTATTAGATTTATCCCAGCTGGCTGCCACTCCCAATAAAGACTTGTTCACATGCCACAGGGCTTAATGACGGTAAGTGGAAGCTCTAAGTGGACTTAGGCAAGGGCTTCTGAGAAGTGGAAACAAGTCCACAAACAGTAGCTTCTAACAGATTGTATGGCAAGGATGGTCTCCATAGTGTTACATGGCACAGCAGCTATTAGAGGATCTCCATTGCCCTGGGACAACCAATGCTGTTGCATTTCTCAAAGAAGGTAGATTTGTTTGGTGATTCATTTATATGTGCTTAGTGGGTCAAGTTTTTAAGTCCTTGAATTGAAGTCTAGGCCAGGCTTTTAGGGCTTTGGCTTTAGCATTCACTATCCTAGTTAGTAAGAGCCAACATTGCTGCCCAAAAGGGAACCTTGTGAGCTACTGTGATTAGCCAGCCAAATGTGCCCATGTCTGCATGTGTTATACAGTTTCTAAGTTTCTCCATTCCTGTAACAGCATAAAAGAAATTAGTAAAAAAAAACTTTATTCCACTGTGGTTTATTGTGACCAAAGCTCAGCTGTCAACACATACGGTTCTGCATTATGGCCTTCCCTTGATCTAACCCTTCCAACTTAGGCTGTTCTATGATTTCATGAACACAAATCTTACTTCCAGGTCTACTTTGACCATTTCTGCAGACATTTAATAAACTGCTTTCTTTACAAACTAAATTTCATTCATCTACATTATTTGAGAAAATTGCATGTAATCCTATAACTTATCTTTGTATTTACCTATATAAGGCAGAAATGGGTAAAGTTATTCGTTAGTAATATTCCAAAATGCAAAAACATTTACAGAAGATTTAAGCAACGAAGGACTTCTTCCACGAAAGCACTCAGAAGTTCTGAGCCACAGCAACTACAAAACTTCAGTCTTTTCAGGAAAAAAAAGCAAGCACAAATTGCAAGAACAGACAAAAAATTTGTAACACTCCAATCTTTTCTTACCATTACACAGGTAGAATTAAGAACAGCCTTTCTTCAACCCCTGAAATTCTTACCTGTGAACAAGGGTCATAAATTTCTAAGTGTATCTGCCTCCCGTCCAGGCACAAGTGTTTAGTGTAGATGCATTCTAAAAGATACATGGTACACAAAGAAAAACATCATTAATAACTGATGATCGTGGAGAAAAGGCAGTAAATGTGAGATTTGATAATACCGAGGATTCCTTCAGTATGTTTTGGTTGTCAAGGGGTTTGGGTTTTCTGTTTGCATTTCAGGGTTTTTTTAAGTTTCAGTGGGGTGGGGGGAGCTTTTGAGTTTGGTTTTGAGGTTGGGTTTTTTCTGTGAGGGAGAAAAGGAGAGATGTCCGTGTTTTTGTGAGGCCTTTTGTTTGCTTGTAGGTACTTTGCTGTTGCTTTTACACACATGGGAAGCAAACCTACTTCATTCTGCAAGACCTGAGCTGCCCATCCCCTTAAGCTGACCAACTTCATTTCACTGTGGTGTTCCCATCAAAGTGTTTGTGCAATGAACACTCTTAGACTCCAGTTTTCCTCTTTCAAAATGGAGGCAATGGGGACTCTCAATGCTCAGAATCAGCTAAATGCTGATGATTATTCAGCTTGATACCAAAGGATTATGAAAGCGGTAAGCCAGCCTACACGTAAGTTCTTATTCTGCACAAAAAAAAAAAAAAAAATCATTATTTGGTAATGATGTTTATTTACCATGAAACTTGGTGCTTTTAGAGTTCTCATACTACTTAGCATTAGACCAATAGTATTCACAGGATCACATCCTTAGACTAGATCCCAAAATACTTCTGCAGCATCTGTTCTCAAATTTAGGTCTTTCCATCAGGACTGGCAACCCTGGCAACTCCACTGCCAACAGATATATCAGGCAGGTTATTTTAAGCAACTATATCCAACTTGTGTTCACAACACTAGTTATGTCAACAGGCTGTCTACAGTACAGTTTCTCACAGTTACTTAACTACAGAGACAATAACTGCTCTTGGCACTACAGAAAATACACTTCAAACTGTGTGTAATGGGGATGTAGATATGGTCTATGATGTCTGGAACTCAGCATCTTCAGTTCAGCACTATGCTCATCTCGGGCATTCTCCATGTATATTTAAGATGTCATCTGATGAACTGTCAGTCCCAAGCATCTAAAGATATAAAGTCTGCAGTCCCCTTCATGGTTTCCATAATTAAACAAAACTTTAATTAATACTTTAGCTTCACTAACAGTAGGATGATTTTTTTTATCACTCCATATTCTCCATTTTGCTCCCTTTTCCTCCTCTCTAGAAATTGACCTAAATTTATCTTCCAACAAATAAAAGTGTTCTAGGGGTTTGACATGCCTTTTCTGAGACTTGCAGTATTCAGGGCTCAGACAAGGAAACCTGTTTCTAGTTGTAGGTGGCTTAGAACACACATGGAGTGCAGGGAGCACTATGCAACTTAGATGTGACAGCTGAGACTTAGATAGGTCACCTGGGACATAAACTATCTTTTCAAATCTGTGTTTGTATAGTACTACCTATTGGTAGAGCATCTACATAAAACTATAACTCTTTGAGAATAAGTTCGTTTGGATACATTTAGTGCAATTAAGCTTAGTACTTCTATTTTGGGTTGGTTTGGTTTTTTTTAATGGATCATAGAAAACTACTCCAATTTTTGTAAAAAAGCATTTTTGGAAAGTCTTTCACTTTAGCAGGGAATATGAGTTAGATCAGAATCTCCATCCCTTGTGAAGTTTTGGGACTTCTCATGCCCCATCAGCTGGAGTGGCACACTTCCAAAGATGTCTGTATATCAGTTAAGTAGTGCTTCTACCCAGGATGTGAAAGTTCAAGTGCTGTTTTGCCATCTTCCAAGATCTTAGAAGTGTCTTAAGGATCAGCCTATTTGTTCTGAAATGAAGGAGAAATTCTATCCTCAGCACAGCGGGACTTTCCTCAAAGCTATCAAATCAGTGCAT